GGGTGGACGGGCGGGGTGCGGGGGAAGCAGGCGGGAAGGAGCTGCCGCGCTGGCCGGGGAGGCGCCGAAGGGCCCCGGGGCCGCGTCGCCGAGGACTTGTTGCCGTGCTGCGTCCTTAACGCTCCTCTCCAGAACCTCATCTTCCGCTACCTGCAGAACGTGAGTACCGGGGCCCGGCGGGGCGGGCGGGGCGGCCCCCGTGTGAGAGGAATGGCCCGGTGCTGCTTGAGCAGGGGCCACACCGGATCGGTATTTCAGAGCTAGTCATCCGGTTTTCGAAGCCGGTTTCCGTTGAAGAACCTGCGGTCCTTCAGATACGTGAGAAGAACGGCGGGTTCGAGCCCAGCGATCCCCGGAGGAATTGCCTTTGTAACGGGTGTTTGATCTTGTGATCCCCCGTGCAGGGATCGTTTTCCTCCGACAGTGTTAAAACCTGTGCTGTCACACGTTCCTCAGTGAGCATGTAAAGTATTTACAAAATGGCATCGTACCTTATATATATATATACCTGAGGACGTAACTGAAACCACCTGGGAGGGTTGCTGCTCTGAGTGCTACAGAGCTCTGGGAGCTATGGGATCGCTTAATGCAGAGGAGAGGCCAAAATTGCTTGGAGTGTTTATGTTCCTGTTTTGTTCTCCCCCTCCATCATTTTTGCAGAGATCCAGGATCCAGGTGTGGCTCTATGAGCAAGTGAACATGCGGATAGAAGGCTGCATCATTGTGAGTATCAGGGTGTCCCCTTCTTACTCTGTTGATTGGGGTTTTTTTCAGATTTATAAGGCTCTTTCTGCCTGTCAGAAAAAACTAGTGGGGGGCGTGTGTGGAAATACTTCATGCCTCTCCAGTGAATAGTCTTAATTGTCCACCTGACAATAGTTTGTATCGTTGTTGATGAAGTTGAGACCAGGGGGCTTAGCTCACTGACTGCTTTTGTTGCTGATTTTTAGGGCTTTGATGAATATATGAATTTGGTGCTGGACGATGCAGAGGAGATTCACTCCAAAACAAAATCAAGGAAGCAGCTGGGTACGTCAGTATGTCTGCGTAACGTGAGTGATGTCTGAAACCTGGTTCCGTGAGCCTTCCGAATAGCAACTCTTTTAAAAAAAAAAACAAAACCACAGAAAGTTCTGTGTTTTTAAAAATAACACAGAGTGCAAAACGCGTGAAGGGCATTGAGTCTGAAGTACAGCGAGCGCAGTTTGATGTACACTGCCTAGATCTTGGTTCCTGCCGTTTCTGGCGCTGGTGGTTTTGTTGAATGTGTAGGAGAAATCAGCCTCTGACTGAGACCAGTTTTTGCTTCTCAAACGTGTAACAATGTACGGACTGCATTGCACTTTTCCTGCAGCCAGGGTGGCTGGAGGGCTCCAATCAAATTCCTCTCCGCTACGTCTCACGTAGGTGGCCCCGAGCAATTCTGGCACTTGCTGTGCCGCCTCCGAGTGAGGCAGAAAACCACCTAAGGGGGTGGTGTTTAATATTCACCACCTGCTGCGGAGGACAAACAGCAATCTGTGCCAAGTGACCTATTGGGGCTCTTAGTGGGGACAGAGTGCTGTTCACACACCGGGCACTGGAGTGGAGGTTGTGTCTGATACGTTGTAGGGTGAAGTGTGAATGTGGGCCCCGCACAGCCACGCTTACAGCCCTGCGGCGTGGCCAGGTGGGAAGGGACTCTGCGTTACTGATCAAAACCTGGTCGGTTGTCCTGCGGGTATCTTCTTGCCTTTGCCGTTGTTAAACGTGTTTTGAAAATACGAGGTTATCGTCGAGAGTCTGGGATCTGTCTAATCCCACCTTTCCTTTCTCTGTGTTGCAGGTCGGATCATGTTAAAGGGGGACAATATCACTCTCCTACAAAGTGTTTCTAACTAGGATTTGTTGTTCTTCGCTTAGAACAACAGCTGCGGTGCTTTGGAGTGAAGGACGCGCTAGTGGGAGCAAGACCAGCTAGCAGGGAGTTATGCGTAACTGGGGTCACATGCAGAGTTGAAAACTGCGCGTTCCTTTGTGCAAGTAATTTTTGGGGTTTTTGTAGTTTGAAACGATGCACGGTGTATTTCACAAATAAACATTTTTCATGTTAATTGTAAATGTAAATCTGTTTGCTTTCAGCCTCATGCCCTTCTGTGAGTAGAGAAGGGGGAGAAATGTATTCAAAGTCATTTTTGCCGTAGATCTGCGTAGTCTCTGATAAATATCTGTGCATTCTGGAATGTTACATCTGTGTTGGGTGGACAAGGTGGGCTCGTTCAGGATACTGGAGCGGTGTGAGGTCCTTGAGCTTGCATGGTTCTAGGGGGGGGACTTGGGGCTGTGGTACAGTAATCCAACATTTACAGACTTTATGGGTAGATGTGCTTGTAAAATAGCTTTTATCTGCAGGTCAGAGAAGCAGAGAGGGTAGTTGGGTTAAATCTCTATAATTTCTTGCGTCTTTGGGCAGAGTCTAGATCAAACCATGCCGCTGTTAAGTAAGTCGGGATATTGGATGTGTCGGTTGGGGGTTTTGTCGTGTTGGTTTATTATTATGCGTTTGAGGATCTGGCTGTTGTATTTAAGTTTCCACAAGAGAGCTGAGTCGCTTATCACATCAACAAAAGGTAAGTCCCCTAGCTGATGTGGGGCTGTCAGTCCCTTCTGCTGCTTTTCTGGTGTAAAGAAAGAGGAAAAAGAAAGGGTTTGGCTGTAATTGTAACTCGGAGACTAATATTACCTGGATGGAGAGAAACGAGTCTTGATACACAGCCCACACTGGAAATCATTTAATAAGCTTTCAGTATTTCAGGACTTAAATTTGTGTATCATCTTAAGCATGAAAACCACTACATCCAAGATGGAAGATGTCTTGCTTCAAAGGATAGAAATACATGAGTCTCCTGGCAGAGATCGTCCAGCGTGCTTCTCCTGTCCCAAGGAGTTGTACCTCGGGAGTATCGTAGCGGACATTCATGGTCAGAAGCCTTTGAGACGCAGCGTGAGGTACTTGGTGGCTCAGCCTGCTAACCGAGTCGGGAGTTTGTATTTCTGTTCACAAGCTGCAAAGTCCTTTCCACACAGAGTAAACAGAAATAACCTCCTGGTGTCATTTCGCAATGGAAGTCATCACCAGAAGCTGGCACACACGGAATAAAACAGGATTTTAAGAGCTCACCTCCGTCTGCTTTCTGCCTTACCCTTGGCGTAGCAAGCGAGGCTTTCGGGGAAGGTGGGGATGCGTTGTCTCAGTCAATATATTGTTCAGGTGTTGCAGTAAGGGGTATTTGTGACGCAGTGCTGTAAAATTTACCTGCCTGCATCTCTTCATTGTTACTGGCAGGTGATGGCCTTGAGGCTATAAAAACACAGGCTCTCTTCAAAGTGATTTTGAAGTAACTTTGAAGTAATCATTTCCCTTTCCAAGTGTTTGTAACTTTTTACTAACACTGTGTGTTTAGAAAGAGGTTATTGAATGGGATCTGTTGCATCACATCGCTTGGCTCCAGTTTATCCAGGGCCACTGAAATAAAACCAGCTTGGAGCCTACAAGGGTCTGTCCTCCTTCCGCTTTGCACGTGGCTGGCGAGCAGCTGCTCTTTGAGAAGACTTGGACATTAGGAGAAATAGCTCGAGAAATAGCTCGTTCTTATCAGCAGTGCTGCCGCCAACTCCAAATTGTGCACTTCAAGACACCGTAATGCCTCCTAAAGCTCCTCTGTTCTTTGATATTATCAAATTAACGCGAATGAACGTCAATATTGGAGTAGGTTGATGATGGGAGGAAGGAAGTCCAGGCTAATCAGCTCTGAAGCATCTCATGATAAGGGACTGAAATAGGCAGTAATTATGTGAGTGGGGGAGTTGCAGAAGAAAAGGAGAAGCTCCGCAGAAGAAAGCCGTGAAAACTGCAGAAAGCCTGCAGGAGCATCCGGGTGCGCGTGGATGTCCAGGAGGAAACACAGCCCCATTGTTTGAGGAGCGCCTGGCAGTGGAGCGTTGTGGTCCAAGAACAGAGCTTCTAGGCATTACCAACACATAGACAGGGCACAAAAACAATCCTGGCTTTGCCAAACTGGCTTCCCAAGAAGCACTTGTCTGTCCTCGTAAAAACCACAGGACTGACTCATCTAAATGCTCGCTGATTTTTGGTTTGGTTTTTTTTTCTTTTTTTTAACCCCGAATCCTTCCAGCTTCCTGAGCGTTTCCAAGCTGCAGGCAGCGAGAAGGTAACGTCTCATGAGCCACTTGAACCCTGCGGCGCCGGAATGAGACTCAAACTGGCTGCAAAAGTGTGGTAGACAGAAGGGGGTGCTGCGGGCTCGGCCAGCTCCCCCTGCCCCTCCAGCGAAGTGTCACAAGCCTCTGCAGGAACAGAGAGTTCCCCAGCATTCAAGCAGCTTTATTGGCTCCCAAACAACCTGGAAGAAAGCAAACTGGGCTGTCTGGTGCCGGGCTGCTCTCAAACGGTGCGGCAGCCGCACAGGGTGCCTGGATCTCCTGGGCAACAGCACCTTCTCCAGCTCATCCGCACCCTGGGGTGTCCTGCTCCAGAAGGGGATGAGGAGTAGAAGGTTCTGGTTTTGGCTGAGCAAGAGGCAGTGAGGAGGAGCAAGGTAGAGTGAACGTTTACATCTGGGCTTTGTGTTTAGAAAACTCCCGTCCCTCGCTTGGCTTTCTGCTGCCTTGAAGCCTGTTGTGTTTGCTTTTGCAAGTGGTACTTTAAGATGCCTTGAGGTGGCATTATTAGGAGTGCCCCAGTGTGCTGGATTATTGCAGTGGGATGTCATGTGGTGGTGCAGATACCATGCTGCAGCGTTCACACACCTCCAGGAAACAAAGTGCCTATGGTGGGATTTGCCAGAGAAAGTTTTCTAACCGCTGCCAGCGCTCAGATACCTGTCACAGCCAAAAATCGAGCTGCCTGCAGTGTTATGTACCATCTCACTGAGCCCCAATGTCTGCTTTGTAGAAACAGAGCGCGCTCTTACTTAAAAAGCCAGCGAGTGAGACCTGCTTTCTGCACGAACGATGGCACAGGATACGTAAGACAGAGCGCTCTGCCGTGCGACATTTCGGTTTAAGGCCATTGCACTGGTTGTGACAGGCGGATGAGAGCCCGCTCCGATCCAGGTGGGGCTCTGCAGTGTTTGATTTCTTTTCTTTCCTAAAAGCATTAGCACCTTTAACAGCACTGGAAAGTGCTTTGAGTAAATATTTGTCCCTGTTCTCTGCCTGTGGCTTTGGGGTTCTGGGAAAAAGGCTGCTTTTCTTCCCTCTTGCACTTGGGAATTGCTTGCCAGCGCAGTCCTTCTGCAGGATGAGACTCTGTGCTTGTGAAAGAGCCCCCGGAGGAGGGAGGCAGAGTGCTCCTGCCTTTCCAGAGGGGAACAGTTTCTCTGTGGCTCTTCGGTAGGATGCAATGATTTGTAGGATGATTTTACATGTGCTCGAATCTAAACCTCTGAGCCAGCCAGCTGCCTGCAGGTTGGTGCCCTTCATGGCTCTTGAAAGGCATCACTGCACTTCTGCTCAGGCTTCGTGGGATGCGGTGGGCTCCGTCCTCAGGCAGGACATGGGTTGGTGTTGGCAGGAGCATCGTGGACAGGAGCAGACACCTTGTGTAACCCGTGGCTGCTTGCTGAGCTTGGGCTACCTCCAGCATTTACTGTCTTTTCATGCCTGTAACCTTCTGTGTGTCCGTAAAATAAGTAAATGGGGAGATGGCATATGTAGCTGTGTGGGCTGTACAAGGGGAAAATCACCTTTCCCTCTGCCACCACCCTTGATCCCACAGAGCTCCCTTCTCCCAAAGCCTCGCCGCCTCGTGCTTTAGCGCACATTATCTGGGAACTTATTTCAAGTGCTGGTATGTTTTAAGGATTGTGTGCCTAAAAATAATAGTATCAGACAGACAACAGTGGAAGGTCAAGGACTCAAACGGCTTAGAAGCTGTCCCCTTAGGGCAGCATCTGAATATGGAAAACTTGTGTGGAGGGTAGAGGCAGGAGCTGGGGGAGAGCAGCCTTTAAGTGCTGTAACGCTTTCCTAAATTCCCTGCCTGTTCTTGTTCCGGTCCCACATGGGGATGGAACTGTTTGGGATTGGTTTTGCCATTTTTTCTCCCTGGGCAATAAAAGCAGTCCCCTCTTTGGCTGAAGGCGGGTTTGGTACCCACAACGAGCAGATGGGATGCTTGTGGGGAGAGGAGGTTGCTGGGCAGCCATTTCACCCTTCTTCCCCCAAAGTCCTTGCAGAAAAGGGCTCTCGTCGAAACACAATGTCAAAAACTGGCTCCAGCAGGTTTTGTTCGTGGCAGTACCCTCCGTTGGCAGCCCACACACAAGGTGCCCAGCATGGCTGCCCCCCCGCCGTGCCTTTTCACATTCATACCCACCAGGGGCATCATTACTATTGTTTGTAACATCTCTTGGAAAAATGAGTCATGGGCATTTTGCCTGCCCTCAGCAGGGAAACTCTGCCACATTAGCAGCAGCAACGCCCGCCCCCCCGCGCCGCTGCCTCGCATACCAGCAGGCCCCTTCGTGCAAGGAGCTGGTCTTGCTTCGCTCACGTTGGTCGATGTTACTGCTTGTCTTGCCAGCCCTAACCTGGGCTTCGGGGAGGGTCTCGTTCCCCAATTCCCCACTCACAAAAGCCTGGATGGAGTTCAGCCCAAGGTGTCGCAGCAAACTCCCGTCACCCAAAAGATGACCCTGTTCCTGCAGGTGCTCTTCCCTCCTGTGCCTTGAGCTGCAATATTTAAGCCCAATTTTCCTGCACTTGTCTTTGGGCCGTGTTCCCACCCTGCACAGCGTCGTGGTGGGTAGTGTTTTCTGGGCTTCTCCCACCACGATACCAGTTTGTCTGTGGCAGAGATCGTTGCTCCGTGGGGCAGGCTGTCACCTAACTGCAGGATTTGGAGTGTAGATGGGGTGAAACAAAGCCATGAGATAGCTTTAGGTTTGGGCAGTTTATTTTACTCACATGTGAGTATTTATTGTAGACCCAGGATGCTCGGGTCCTATCCCAGGTTTTGCCTGTCCCTCCAGAAAAGGTGTACGAGATCAGGTTGGCAGAAGGATTTGCCTTACTGCAAGGGCTGGAGCTTCAGAAGCAGACTGAGCTTTCCTGCGGGTCCAGCCCTGATTCTGGCTGCTGCTTTTCAGAATTTTGCCTTATCTGCTATTCTTCAGTCTCTTGTCTGTGTAATAGGAGCAATATCTAATAGTCCCCTGGGGGGGGTGATGGCTGATGGAGTGGTGTGATGTCCTCAGCTGAGTGGAACAGCGCTGTGCACCGACCTGCTGTCTCTGTGGCTCTCCTGCTGCCAGGCAATCTGGTTCGTAAATAAATCTGTGTTTTCCGGGGACACTTCTCTCTCCTTCCCTGTGCTCCCTGTTGGGTGGGTTAAGAGTTGAGGAGACTATCCGGGTTAGTCGTCTTTCACCTTGTAAACAGAGCTAGAAGTAGGCCAGGTCTTGCTGGCAAGGGATCTTAAAAGGTTGCTGGACCGCAGTCAC